CCGCTTTGCCCCGGGTGGCCGCTTTGCCCCACTCTCCCCTACATATGTTGCTATTAGAGGTCACTGGTCATACCAGGTCAGGTCACAGGTCAGGTCACCAAGGGTCACCACATGAACCCAACTTTACTAAGGTTGTGCGATGCATGTTTTATGGCCAGTTTTTCATTTCCAACTCATTGGTGTTGGTTATAAGACCATCAGATACGGTTAAGGTCACTTTCTGGTGGAGGTCAGGTCAAGGTCAGGTAAAAAAGGTCAAATTTCAAAGTTGATATTTTTGCATAAAATGGGTATTGATTCGATGCAGCTTGTCACGGGGAGTCTAATGATGGTCTTTGTTTTGCGCTACGAGGTCTAGAATTGCTAAAAATTGAGTTTGAAAATTTGACATCATCAATTTTGAACAGTTTTTTCGCTATAACTTGGCCAAAAAAAGAGGTGTCGATCTCAAATTTGGTATGTAGACAGAAGGCAGTAGGGACTATCACATATATTCCGTTTTTTCGAAATTCAAAAAACTTTTTGGATTTTTCGGCTATTATATTCAAAAAATCTATTTTTGATTTGGGGGTCAAAATCCAAAAAATTCGAAAAACCGAAACAACAATTTTGTAGCCCTCTTAATTCCACATCTTTTATGTCTGAAACATTTTTTCTGTATCTCTAAAGCTGTAGGCCTGACAGCTCTTCCCGCGAAACCTTTTTTGGGTCGAAAATGGCAGAATTGACGTCACTCTGACGTCATTAGTGGCCAACCTATCATAGCCTTTGGAAAAATTTTTGGTCACCATGTGCGCTAGCTACTCCCGGGAGGGTACTGAAAGTTTGGTGACGATCGGCGCAGCGGTTCTCGAGATATATCGAAAAAAAAACTAAAAGGGGGGGGGGAAATGCCCCCCACCGCCTTGAAGGTTAAGATAAAATTGACATCAAAGTGCTCCCATTCCATAAGGCATTCTCCCTCAAAGCAAAAATTTCTGCCTACACCACTGTTGCGTTGTTTTTGACATCTGAAGTGGAGAAACTCCATGCCTGAACATCGCGCGACCTTTGGCCTTCGACAGATTTGGCCTCCAAAACAAACCCGTACTTGGCCATTTGGTTCACGGCATGCAGTTTTTGTAATGCTAGAATATTACCGCAGTAATACTCTGTGTTAACAGTTGTCTTTGCGGCATCGTATCAAGCTGAATGCTGAATATCACCGTGGCTCAAAATGTCTCGCACTTTGATTTTCGACGGGTGCCTGGCCGTCTTCGTTGTTGGGACGTTGTAGCCATCTGACGTGCACACACGCTTTTTCGGCCGATTCAAATAGCAGAATACCTTTGTTAGACTACAAAGTGTGTTTCAACATACTTTTTGTTGTTTATGTTATGTTTTTTGGATAAATTGTAGCGATTTGCCCTGCTTTCTCGGTAATTTTGGCATTTTATTCAGGCAACAAATGGCGGGGGGGGGGCAAAATGGGCATTTGCCCCCCCCAAACGGCATAATTTTAACATTACGCCTATGGACGATGCATGGAAAGAATCGATAAATTGTTATGGTTTGCCCCCCCCCAAAAAAAACCTCTGAGCTGGATCCGCCTCTGTCAGGCAAAAGACCCCAAATTCCAAAATGTAGTCGAAGATGATGGTGCAAAGTAGACTGATGTTTCGTAGCTGATCTATCGTTTAACTAGTTTTTAGCTAGATTGGTGACGTTTGTTGTCCGTCCATGACAAGGCAACCACCCGCTTGACAACTGGTACATGGTCCTTTTCGGCCAAGCCCAGGCTTGTCGATCAGCTTATTATTTGCTCTCTCTGGCTTCGTCAGCTGATATAATTGCAGGTAGGTACGTTTTTCGGCTACTAGTCGTTTATTGTTTTCGTTTCGAATTTTCGACCTTCGCATCGAGGTCGTTGTCAAGAAACATACAACAATGATGTTTCTTAACAACGACCTTTCTTTTTGTTGTTTCTTTTTGTTGTATGTTTCTTGACAACGACCTCGATGCGAAGGCTGGAAATTTGAAACGAAAACAATAAACGACTAGTAGCGGAAAAACGTACCTAACTTGAATTAAGATGTCTAGTCGTAAAAGCTTGAAATCATATATGATATAATTGAATTGCGCTTTGCTCACTCCTACCTGCTTGCAGATGAGCTGCTGGAGCTCTCCAGCAAGAACCATGCCGAAAGTCCGTTTACAAAATTGAAAACTGCACTTGATTCACCATGGTTTCCTATTAGTGGCTTAAGCTGAAAACGGAAAAGGACTTCTCTTACCTGACTCTGGATAATAACTGACTCGAGTCGTGACTGGTCACCAAAAGCACACAGTCTCCAAGCTCGATAGCTAAGGGATATCTTATAAAAGTATGATGCCTTTATATCATTAGAGTCGAGTGCAATCGTACTTTTAGCCAGAAAATAAATGTTCGGGTAATTCTGGGACACCCTGTAAGTCCTCTTCCACTTCTTAGTACCTACTTGTATTACAGGTCTTGTTGTATGCTCCATGCGAATGTAGTTGTGTAATTTCTTGGACTCTTCTTTGATGCTGCTCAGCAATGATCTTTCATACTCATGCCTTAGCTGTCTTATCAAGGTGGTTGTCTTACTCCTCTGTGAGGTACCTATATCTCTTGTAGTCCTTATCTGATCCAGTTTCACAATATTTCTTGAATGTTTTGTGCTTGAGCTTAATTGACTTGGTTATCTGCTTGCTCCACCATAGTGCTGTCTTTCTGTTGATTTTTTTTTTTTTTGAGGTGTGGTACATTTGACTTCAGGCTTGTCTCTAATGCATTTTTAATGCCACTCCACATGACTTCCACCCCAGCAGATGTGCCGAGAAGGTGATAACCCCTCATTCCCCTCTTACTGAACAGGTACAAAAGCTGGCGGGTCCGCCTCTGTCCATTGTTGCAGAAGGAGGACAGAAAATAGGCGGAATTTTCAAGCGAAACAAAAGAGAGTCAGTAAACGAAGATAGCGTAGTATATAAAATTCCTTGCGATGGGTGCCCACGCGTGTACCACAGGGAAACGGGAAGGAGTTTTAAAACGAGGGTTCGCGAGCACAAGGGGGACATGCGCAATCATAGAGTTTCGAACGCCTTTGTTGTTCACGCAGAGGAAGAAGGACACCTGCCTAACTGGACATGGGCAAGTGTCTATAGGAATTTTTCCAAAGTTCAGCGAAAAGTTATAGACTGTAGAGGCGGCATTTATCGCTACTGGTGAAACTTTGAATATTTCAATTTTTTTTCAGGCTTGCTACTGTGGCTGCATCTTTAGTCAGGAGAGGTTATGACTTGTGAATTATTTATTTGTGCCCTGTTTGCAGACAGGAAGTGATACTACGAAGAATTGCCCGCGTTGATCCCATGTTCACGCAGATAAATGCGTGTCCTTTTATTACCCTGGAAAAAGTTATAATAAGCGAAACGTCGAGTAATATTTGTTGCAATATCTTGCATATTTATGAAATGATTATGGCATTGCATCTTCGTACATAACTCATATCTATTTTAAGCTGAATTGAGTTCAAAGCTTTTTGTAAATTTCAAGAAGATTATCCACGGCATTTCCCGTTCAATTTTACACCATCGTGCATTAAAACCAGTAAAACGCCTTTTGGGCGAAGAACGAGCGAGCGAGATAGTGAGCCCTGCACGTGCGCAAGGGCGAGAGGGTACTTCCAACGGGCTTGTGCAAAGCACTGTTCTAAACGGTCGCTAGCGGTGTGCCAAATTTGAACGCAATCGGCCCAGCCGTTCCTGAGATCTGGAAGCGGCATTCTGCACGTGCGCACGTGCAAAAGGGGTCCAAACTGACTTTTGCACGGCACCCTACTAACTGGTCCCCAACCGTGTACCAAATTTGAGCGCAATCGGCCCAGCCGTTCTCGAGATCTGGGAGCGCCCCCTGCACGTGCGCACGTGCAGTAGCACCCTAACCGCAACACATGGGAATGCATTGCCTGGTGGGTGCCTACCTGTATGCCAAGTTTCAGCGAAATCGCCCCAGTAATTACCGAGTTATTGAAATGGGAACAAAATTTGGCACCTCTTCTTTTTGCATTTTGCACGTGCAGTGGGGGTCCCTCACATAGATCAAGAATATCCGACCTTTGGTAGAAGGGATGCAGCTACCCTACAAAAATTACCGCAAGACAATCGCCCAAGCGGCTGCTGAGATATGTGCCTATCAAAATCGCTACTTTTGCAAAACAGCTTGAACACCCTTGACTTTTCACGTGGCACGTGCCACGACTGTCACTGAGATGTATCAAAAGTAGTCAATTACGGGGTAGAAGGAATGGGGCTACCCAGCAAAAAAGACCGCAGGCCCATCGTTCCAGCGGTTGCTGAGATATAAGCCTCTCAAAAGCGTTACAGGCCTGGCCGGGCCGGGCCGGGCCGCTCATGCTGAGATTTTTCCGTTATATTGAAAAGACTCACTTCGCTCGCTGCGCTCGCTCGCTCGTAATGACAAATATTAAATACTTCTCATTTATATGCCGATTTTCCTGGATATAGAAGGAATGGGGCTACCCAGCAAAAAAGACCGCAGGCCCATCGTTCCAGCGGTTGCTGAGATATAAGCCTCTCAAAAGCGTTACAGGCCGGGCCGGGCCGGGCCGGGCCGCTCATACTGAGATTTTTCCGTTATATTGAAAAGACTCACTTCGCTCGCTGCGCTCGCTCGCTCGTAATGACAAATATTAAATACTTCTCATTTATATGCCGATTTTCCTGGCTCGCTGCAGTCTGTATCAAATAGCCACACTCATGTTAAATAGCCCCACCTTACGGTACCGCTTCCGGTGAAATTTCGTGAAATTTCGTTTTACGTAGTTTGCAAAAACCCTGATATTGTAAATATCAATCACTTGTAATGAAGTGAATAATTATGTAATTATTCACTTCATTCACCAGCTACTTGTACAAGTAGCTGGTGACGTGGGCGACGGGCGTGTGACTGATGGTATTGTGATGGCCATTTTCAGCTGGTGGTCACGATGGCCACGGCTCTTGGGCGGCAGCTGGCGCGGCTGACGGCGCCCCAGACTGCTCTTGTCATTCATAAAAAAGCGCGGCCTTCGCTGCTATTCGACAAACGCGAGGCAGCGCTTCTCGACAGGGAAACTATCTTCTCGATCGGTGAGTACCATTTTCTGTGACCTTATCCACCGGTGAGTACGAGTAGCCGTGGTCTACTGGTGCTGGCTCCCAGAACTATGGGTGGGTCGGTAAGCTCCTCCTCTGGCCATTCTCTTTATGAATACAGTTGAAACACTTATGCTAGCAGCAGCTACACATCAACCCTTGTCCCTTGATATACCTCAGATGTATAGATGATATTTTTGGCATTTGGACACGCGGCTCTTTCTTTGGACAACTACTACGAGTTCTTAAATAGTTTTCATCCTTCTCTAAAGTTCAGCATAAAAAGGACTGACAACTCCCCTCAAAAACAAATTCCCTTCCTAGACACATTGCTCACGGTGGAACCAACAGGTAAATATACTACCGAACAGTGGCGGTGGATTCGATTTTGGCGTGGGGGGGGGGCAAGATCCCAGTCGAGATGATGTCATAGGCGGATCCAGAAAGGCGTTTTCGACGCTGTAGGGAGCATACCCCCCAAAGTGTCCAAAAAAAAAAATACTCCTCGGATTTCGATTCCTTATGAACAGTATAAAGCAAGGCTATATAAACCAGGTAGAACGCTCCGGGAAAAAAGTTGGAAACAAAAAAATTAGTTGCGGCATTCACTGATGACGCGAATGTGGGTCAGCGGCCGGCGGCCGGCGGCCGCTAACACTGTATGAGGATGAATGCACGGAACTTAAACTTGTTGGAGATTGCGCTAGGCAGTTAAACGTTAACCCGCGCGGGGCTGGGGGGGTAAATTTTACCCACCCTCGCGAATTTTTGCAGTAACTCAAAAACAGCGGCGCGCAGCGCCGCCAAACTTTCAGTACCTTTTCTTACATCAATTTGACACGTTCCCTGAAAATTTGAGCGAAATCTGTCGGAAAATTTTTGAGAAATTGACGTTTTAGTGACGTCATGTTCGCCATTTTCGCCTCAAAAACGGCAAAATTTCAAACGCCGCTAACATCTTCATTTTTAAAGGAATCAAGACGTAACAAAAAAGGTTATACGTAATTCTACTTTGTCTATCAAATGGCTATCTCGGTTTTTTGAAAATTTTGGATTTTAGCCAAACTTTTTTCAAAAACCTGACTTTTTTTGGGAAAATAATTATAAAATCAAAAATTTTGAGTGTATCGAAAAAACCGGAGTATATGTCAGAGATGTGGTCTATGTGCACCTACATACCAATTTTTAGAAGAATCGGTTCAAAAATGTGGGAGTTATTAAAAATTTCATGACGTCACGACACACAAAAATTTTGAAAAATGATTTTTTTTGGAAGTTCTAGACCTCGTACGGAAACAAAAATAGCACCATTCGATTCGCCGTGAAAAACTGCATCAGATAGACACCTTTTTAGGCCTTAACAACCAACTTCAAAATTTGACCTCACTTGACCTGACCTTGACCTGACCTCGACCTAAAATTCATCCAGATGTGGTCCATATCACCTATTGAGTGTGCCCATTGAATTCTATGAATAAAATGACCCATAAAGCATGTGTCGCACGTGCCCTTTTCTATATTTTGTTTTTGGTGACCTGACCTGACCTGACCCAGGCGCGGATACAAGGGGGGGGGCCATGGGGGCCATGGCCCCCCCCTTGGCCGATTTTTTTCAAAAATAAAATAAAAAGTTAAAAAGCTGAAAAGGGGGCCTCCTGAAAATAAAGTGGCCGAAATCCGATGAGTTTTTTTTTAACCTACCCACTTAGTTATTTCTTAGAAGACTAGCTGAGAAGACTTCTTTGTTAGAAGATTGGTAAAGCTTTTCATAACTTGGAGGTCTCTTATACTCACAGAGATGACCACTTTTACAGGGCCTCCTAACCTGCACAGAGGGCCTCCAAGCCTGTACAGATGTCCTAACAAACACAAAATCTCTTAGCCTACACAGAGGCCTCCACTCGCATCCGAACAAAGGGCCTCCTAGCCAACACAGAGGGCCTCCTAACTCACACAGAAGGTCTCCTATTCTGCACAGAGGGACTCCAAGCCTGCACAGATATCCTCTTCGCCAACACAGGACCTCTTAATCTCCACAGAGGGCCTCCACTCGCATCCACACAAAGGGTCTCCAAGTCTGTACTGAGGGCCTGCGCTCGCATCTGCACAGAGGGCCTCCTAGCTATCACAGAGGGCTTCCTAGTTCACATACAAGGCCTCCTAGCAGGGGCGGATCCAGGGGGGGCGATAGGGACTATAGCGTCCCCCCGGGCGACTTTCTCATTTTCTTTTTTTTTTTTTGCAAAAAAAGCATGATAGGGGGCCCCAAAAAATAAAGTGGACGAAATCCAGGCTTAAACTTTTGGGGGTAGGTAGGGCCCCCATCGATGGGGGGCCCCCGATTCGGAATAGCCCCTCCCTTGGCAAAATGCTGGATCCGCCCCTGACCTGACCTGACCTTGACCTTGACCTCTGAATGATATTGTATGCAGCGAATATTGTCTTGGTAGCCTAAGAACACGTTTTAGGCAATCAGTCTCAGTCCATTCTTCGGCAACTACGGTGCAAGGCCGATACTGTAGAAACTTGCAATTTGTACCCTTGACCTGACCTTGACCTTGACCTCAAGGCTCAAACTTTTAATTAAGTACATGTTTTTAGTTGTTCGTGATGAGATCTTTCGATTGGCGTTTGAATTTTCCAAATCGGACCATTAGTTCGGGAGATAACAGGGGGGGGGGGGTGAAATTTACCCACCCCCAGCCCCGCGCGTTCGGCTGGAGACCCCAGCCCCGCGCGGGTTAATGTTAGGATATGTTTCGAAAGTAAATTGAACGGCGCTTCGAACGCCGTCAATGAATTTGCGATACGACGACTATTTGTTTAGTTAGAGCCGGCGAACTTTTACCTTCCGACCGCGGGGGGAGGCGATATGGTGCCACACTGACGGTTTTTAGGTACGACAGCTCAAAAATCTTTTGAGCTAAAGAGCTGAAATTTGACATGTCCAATCTTTTGATCAAGCTGGATCTTCTGGTACGAGTCGCATATTTAAGGTATGTCAGGTTGTTGACCTATGTTGTCGCTCGTGAGCCTCTACACAGTCCAAAAACAACGCAATTTCTGAACACTCAGTGCCAAGAAATCCTTCACAGAAAGATGACACTTGGCAGAAAGAATGACTGTCGGTTTCTTACCGTTCCTATGTGTCGTGTTTCCACAAGAATTTGGTAAGGTCAGGTCCCTCACGTCACCTCCCCTCATAACTCAATAGGACTAGGTTTACTATCATAGAAGCGTTTATCAATCGCCGGAAATCTTAGCCAATCCCACTGGACACTGGATTCATACCTACATGGGGCCCTCCTAACTGGGCCACTCCCTCTGAAATCCACAATAACATTGGGCTGCGACCATGGTTATGTATTTTGTTTTGTTGGGTTAGGCCCTTTCGGTCCAATGAGACCATTTCAGAGCCGGGAGGATGATAGGATATAGGGGGAGACATTGGTCTGGGCAGGCACCCTAGTGAGTCGCCGGGGCTGAGCCCGTCCAGAGGACAGGCCACCCAGCCCCAAGGCACTCACTGCACCCGGCTACGGGGTGCGCTCCCTCGGGAGCAGCGGTGCCGCTCCAAGGGAGCAGCCCGCATGAGATAAAGTTGCCTGTCCAGCCCGGAAGGGGGTTGCGGCGTGGAGGAGAAAGATTTCAGTATCCTGAGGATAGAAGCACGGAACGGTGGTTATGTATTAAACATTAATGCTTTTCACTAACAGAAATACAACAACTTCAACCAGCACAATGCACGCCGCCACAACAGTCCGACCAACGTCCCTGATATCGACTAGCACTCGGCCGGATGCACATATGCGGAGCCAATCAGTCCGCATGTGACCTGCAGCTTACAATTGCTGTGTCGCATGGCGCATGGCACAGGACGATTCCTAGCAGCTGTCGGCTGGAGTGGAGAAACAGCACGTTGCGACACACCGCGCTGGCGATAGAGCTCAGCAGGGCTGGTTGGAGGCTGGAGCCGGAGGTAAGGGCGGACAGGGGCACAGACATTGCAGGACAAATAACAGGATGTCAGTTAGGGATATTATAATTCAAGACGAATGATTCAAGACGGACTGAAATAATGCACATTTTGCTCACTTGGATACCAACTTCAAACTTGACGTTTATAGAACCACGGAAACAATGGCCACACAGGAAAGAAACAAAAGATGAGGTGTTTTTAACTCAAAGTGCAGACAAGCACATATTTTTGGTAACAGCTATCAGCTTTCCTACCCTCTTCTCCCTTCATCAACTACTGGACACATCTGAAGCATCATATACCGTAAGGTGGGGCTATTTGAGACAGTGGGGCTATTTGAGGCGGTATTTAAAATTGTTATAAGATAAAAACCGTTTGAAATTTATGCTTAATTTTTGCTCAGGCGATTTACTGCTCGATTCCACACCTTCCTGAGCAAAAATATCACATAAAAATCGAACGCTCTTCATTTTATAGCGATTTTAAATACTGTCTCAAATAGCCCCACTGTCTCAAATAGCCCCACTTTACGGTAATATAGGTAGCACCAATGTCCATAACAAAAGCTTGCAAAATAGTTTTATGAAGCCAAGGGAAATATGCCTACATCATGCATGTAAACTCAAAATTACACATGACAAAGGAAGCTTATGTAAAGAGAAGAGTTGGCAAAAACATTTCATAGTTAAAATTATTCAAAACTGCACACAGGGCAAACATAAAAAGCAGCAAGTGTGCTGTTCTGTTATGCTAAGAAGTAGTCCAAAACAAAATACATCTTTTCATGTTTGAACTGGTTGTTCTTCCATGCCACTTCATCCATATCTTGATTACAGATGGGCTGTTGCTGTAAGCTGATGAAGTGACCCTTGATTGCCTTTGTGCGAGTTTCAGTTGCAGCCTTCTAGGTACTGCACTGGAAAGCAGATTGAATTGAATGCCTCTGAAAGATAGGAATACAGGCAAAGTTAGCTGTGGTAGTGTCAATGATCCTTTGACATACATTTGTTGAAGT